GTTTGGTAGTTTGCCTCGTCGATTCTCAAAGGAAAATGCTGCGCTGTTTTGCAATTCATTCCCTACATACTCCTGAGGCGCAATAAATTTGAAATACAAATTGAAGCAAAATTTGAGGAATTAAGTATCAACTTTGTGGTAGCAACACCTCTGCTTGGAACAGACTTGGATTGACGGCTATACCTACGTAAAAGGGCAAAAAATGAGACGCTCACATGATTCAATGTTGCGCGAGCGTATGCTTCACGCACAAGTGTTGTTGATACGCAATGATACTACCTACCGCCAAATATTTTGGACTTTATCGATTTTCAAAAGCAGCCAAAGATTTTGAAATAGCAGGTAGCCAAGTACCTACCTGAGCTCCAAACAAAGACAACGAGATGATGAGGTGATCTTGGAAATGACCGCCTAACAGTGGTATCCGGTACACATTCATTTCATATTGACAGTAAGTAAAATAAATAAATCCTAATAGATGACTCCATATGTTAATCGTTTCGTTAGTCCAGTGGAAGATGCTAAAGTGAAATTCTCTAACATAGTGTAGCGTTTGCACCGCAAATCATTGTCTACCTCTTGGCGCACATCGAATTGGTCATATTCGTAGGCCGATAATGCCGTATAACATATTGGTTAATCCACATAGTAGGTTGCAATTTGTCACGAGTTACTAGTCGGTAAGAACCATGATCATGACATAGTTCACGCGATCGACATCGTATGCAGCGGGGCATTCTAAAATATAAGAGTTTTTATTACCATGAATGCATGGTGCACTGGACATTGTGAATGTAGAGAAAAATAACAAAGGACTTGGGGTTTCCGAAGCGGAGGCAGGGAAAACTCATAAAATTTCAGAAGTAGTGAAAGAAAAACAACTTTGGAGTTATAGTTATTACTCTTACAAAAAGCTGAGGGCCTAGCTGAGGTTATTTATGTGGTGTTACTCACAAACATATACTTCCATTCAATCTTTTACACTTAGTCGTGAACTACTGATGAAAGGACGATGAGCCCAGGGCAACGAGGAGGTCACACAGCCTGTCTGGTTGTTAGCACCGAAACCGGTTATGTGTAGAAATTATTTTACTGAATAAAGCAGATCTAATTTATACTCTAAATCTATCATTATCCAACCTCATAACGTATTGACTTTCTTTATGAATAATGCCAAGGAAAGTTTTTGAAAACTATTTCTTACAAGGGGAACGGAAGGAAATCGCTTTTCCATATCTTTCCCCTTTCCTAAATGAAAACAACATGTTAAGACACTGATCCCTTACACTCCCTCTTCACTATGAAGTCCGCTGCCAGATGAAGGCCTAAAGGGGGATATTGTTTAGCGGGTGCAAAAGCGGCAAGTATCACTAT